CATTGCATTCACTTTGTGATCTTCACACAATATACAGTAATGTAAAAACTATATTTTTGGATAATGATAGTCAGATTTAGGAAAATACATACTCTTACAAGAGAAACACACACGACCACTAGATGTCTTGGTAGAAGGCTACTTTTAGTAGGAAACATAGGGTTTTCTAGGAGAGTTCAAAACATCTTACAAACACTTTCATACAAATACAGACACTAATATACTTATGATCTCACCAGCTTTAAAGCTGATACTCTCTTTCAAAATAATTTGTATCCTCAGGTCGCCAGTAGACACNTAGATGTCTTGGTAGAAGGCTACTTTTAGTAGGAAACATAGGGTTTTCTAGGAGAGTTCAAAACATCTTAGAAAACATCTTACAAAACATCTTACAAACACTTTCATACAAATACAGACACTAATATACTTATGATCTCACCAACTTTAAAGCTGATACTCTCTTTGAAAATAACTTGTATCCTCAGGTTGTCAGTAGACAGGTACCGATGCCAGATTTTGAAAAGATGGAGCTCGTTCAAGACTCATCTTTTATTTTGATTCATATTTTGGTGTCTATTTAACTTGACAGAGCACATTTGTATTAAAATTATATTATTAATGCGATGTTGTTGCTTGTTTACTCTTTGCATTGTTGTGTACCTCCGGCCCCGAACGATTACGCAGTTTCAGGTTTTGGGGTGTGACACCCAATCTCCTGCGACACCGTCTCCGCAGGTGAGTCTGCCTCCGCCATATAAGATCTCTCTTCGTCTTCTATACCTCACTCTCTACCAGCTCGATTCCGGTTGATGAGAATCAACGAATTTGGATTTGGCCGGAACGCAATCTTGGCCTACAAGCTGTTTACGACTCTATCTCACTCGATTTAAACACCTAAAACCCGTACTGTAGTCTTTTCAGCTTCATCGCAACTTCACCAGACGCTTTTCTCCATTCAAGTAAGTATAGGATCTCTCTACGGTTTCTATACCACCGATGTTGTCGTCTTCCGTTTCGATTAAAATCTCAGGTATCTGTTCAATGTTTTAGTGAAGATCGTTGATTGCAAGCGGTCATCATCTAACCACTCTAGAAATCGACTTTTGCTGGCCTCATCTATCTGAGAGAAATCGAGTTTCGCCAGATGAAACACATACAAAACACACTTCAGTCTTTCGATTTTGACCAACAGATGGTTGGGCATCGTCGGTCCTGGTACGACACCATCTCCTTATTCTATTTCTTTTTTTTCTTAATTTTTTTTTAGCTTTTTGATTGTTTGTTTTTCATATTCCCTGCCCTAATCTTGCAATTTTATAAAAATTGGTAGCCCTGTTGCTGTACAGATATGCCAAAATACACGACAGATCGACCAGATAAATTCCACCGACACCGACTTCCAAAATTGCAGCTTTCGGTTAGACTTCCAAACCAGAGGTGACATCCTATTATTTTTATGTGATTATTTTGCTTCCTCTATAACATTTTTTCACATGTATTTTGAAGAAGCACCCTACAAATATGGCTAATCCGTTCAACACAACGGTTGTATCAAGGTTTTTTTGTCTCCAGGACTACAAATCGCCAGACTTTCAGCAATTGATTCAACACAATGATGGTATCAAGGGATAGAAAAAGACAAGTAGGTAAAAAACATCTACTGTTTCCAATTTTGAGTGATTAATTTAGGATTATCTTTAACTAAGTCTTTCTATTGAATCTAGGCATAAGAAAATTGACTTTGATTAGTAAATTGAGATTCAATATTAAGAACACAGATTATTTATTGTTAATTTTGCTCTTCCTTTTTTTGTTAAAATACAATCATACTTTACCCTCTCCAGTTGATATCATAAGATAATGAACTTAATAAAAAAAGACTTAAGATGCTAAATTATATGAAGTCATGTGGACATGTTTGTTTTTGACAGACTTATTATTTCAAGGGTCTCCATATATGTTGATTAAGTTGCAGTGTATAATGATATTAAAAATAAAAAAAAATAAAGAGAAAGAAAAGAAGGATAAGCAAGTGCTTTTGGATCTCTATTTGATCTCAAATTTAATCGGTTATGTAGTAGTATTGAAGTTATGGATTGTATTGTTCATCATTAATGCTATACCCTATCTGGTTGATATTGAGATTTGAAATAGAATTTCACTATGCATCCTAACTTCTCGATGAAATGCATGAACCAGATCGATTGGAGATATTGATGCTGAGAGAAGGAGATATTGATACCGAGTCAGACAAACGGGATTTAAAGAAACTGAAGGTAGAGACATGAAATTGAAGAGATACCATGAATATTCAGTGATCTTTTTGTCCAATTTTCATATTATGATATGTTTTTCCCTTTTCCATTTCTTTAAGTAACTGATTGTATTCATGTAATTCTGGTTTGTATATATAGACTGATGAAGATGAGGAAAGTGTCAAAGAAAAAAAGAATGCAACAAATAAAAAGGTATACTGTTACGCTACTAAGATGAACTACAGCCAAATTACAAACATACCGTTACATTGAACACCAGATCTCCAGTTGTTGTTTCAGTGACGAAGCATTCAGTGTGTGAGGCAATAGATGCCCAGGAATGGTTAGTTTGTTTACATAGTTGTCATATGAAATAAACAATGAAGTATGGTTCCTGGGATATCATCAATTTGCCTTTCTAATCTTCATCTTCATGTATGGATGATGTGAGTCTTGTGTGTTTAGATTGTCAAAATATACCAAATTTACCTTTGTCCTAACCTATTCGTCTTTTTTCTTTATTTTCATAAATGATTGATTATCCTCCTAAAAACGTTTTTGCTATATTTACCTAATGTATTGGCTTTGTTTTTACTATATTTATTTAGTAGAATGTGTCAACAGCCTTGATGCCAGTGGGCTATATGCGAAACTGCTAATATACCCAGTTTTGAACCAGCGGTTGCAATTGATTTCGAACCTACAAACACTTTCTGCAACAGGTAATAATACCGATGTTTGTTTTACTTTCCACCTGATTGATTTCCAATATTGATTGTTTAATCCGATTTTAAAGCTAATTTTACATATTTTTGCTGTTAAGGATAACTGCTAATTTTGCCTCTGAATATGGTGAGAAAGCCCAAAACATTGTTTATAAAGGAAAGCTGCAACAGGTTGCCATCAAACGTTTCAAAAATCTGCATCACATGATTCCAGTCACTTCCTCATTTTCTCAGAATTTTTTTTTTCCTTTTCAATTTGTTGCTGCAATTTCATTTATTTTTTTGGATGGACTCTTTTTGAGTTTTGACATCAGTGAATTGTGAGAATGTGTGTATTTTCTATTTGTTTCATTTGAATCTTCAACCAAAATGAATTTTTTTAACAAAATCCAGAAATCCCTCTTTTGGTTTGGCATACATTCTTTCAGTTTTTCCAGAAATTCTTTTTTTTACAGTTTTTTTCCTAAGGTTTGTGGAAATGACACCTGCTCTTCATTTTGTTGTATCAGGTTTTTTGTGTGCATAAGACAATTATAGCATTTATTATGACGATGTTAATGGTGATGTGGAGGATTTTATGGATTTTAGTCGGAACATTTATCCCAATGGAGAACATCCCAATGAAAAACAATATCAAAGTTTGACTAGGAATCACTTCTTCACCAATATACTTTCTAAAGAGAGTGTTTAGTTAATGGTTGGTTTTTGTCGTTTTAAGATTTGATTGGTTAATTTTTTTGTTGGATGGACAGGCGGAGACGTTGATTGAGCTTCTACAGCGGCCAAGATCCGGCAACAACACGGCCAACCAGGATTTGACAGATTAACATGTTCTCCTTCCATCAGAACACACACATACTTACAAACATGGGACAAAAAATTGTATATGCTCACGGTTGCTTCCTATGTTTTGTAAGACACAAATATTAAGTTTTATTTATTTTTGTTAAATTTTAGTTCTTAATGTGTATTTCGTTTTTTTAAGTTTATAAATTTACAATAGTATTAAGCTCATAAATCGTATGACAATTTTGTGTCAATTAAACATTTATATCACATTACATACACGATATTTATGGTGCTGATTCAAATGTAAGTAAAAATATTTTTGTTTTTTTTTATTGTTAAATTTGTCCTTTTTGTCCTTTGAGCTGTCCAAATCCATCCCAACAAAGCGGGGTTCCTATCTAGTTATGTATTATGTATGGATCCGTTTACTATATGGATTTATTTAAAATAAAAAATTTAATATCAATATATAAACATTAAATATTTTATAAAGTAATTGAAAAAAAAGTAAATTAATGAGTTTGTAACATTTATGTGAATTTATTCTCAAATTAATAAAATGATAACCTTACATGAATAGAATGAGAACCTTCCATATATATAATTGTAAATTCTGCAAATTTAATATAAGAATGAAAAACCTTAAAAAATGACAAATGGAAAATAAAAAAATCAAAAAAAGTCATGTTGCAAAATGAAGGAGAAGAGGACATGTGGTAAAAAAAACTTTCATTTATTAAAGAGGATTAATATAATAAATATATACTAGATGGATACTCAAATTGCAAAAACATCTTGTCATGTCACAAAACCGTCTATTCAAATTTTTGACAAAATTGTAAGAATGGTACATGTGGTTAGGTGGAAATTGTCACTTTTAACCAAAAAGGTTTGAACTAACACTTATGGTTCAAAAGTTTTCATTTTCTTGTCACTTTGGTCCAATTTGGTTTGAATTTTCTTAATATGATGAATTTACCCTCTGTATTTTCATTTTCGATTTTTTATTTAATATAACATTTTTGTAAATTAAAAAAATAAGAATTTGCCCCATCCAATTCTCTCTCTCTCTCTCTCTCTCTCTCTCTCTCTCTTCATTTCGTCACAAACCACAACCACAGCCAGTCAGCCCACCACCGCCAGTAGGACCACCAAACCCACCGTCGATGCCGAAACCTTACAATTTTTCGGCACTAATTCGCCGGAGAAAAAAAATAAGAGTTGAACCGTTTGTCTATTTCCTTCTCCTACGAAGTTGCCTCCGTCTGTTCGTAATCGGCGATATTGTAAGGTTTCCAGCGACGTTTAGGGTTTTCAGAACGTCTATCTCCGACCTCGACGACGCAAGGGTTTGAGCAGCGTTGTCGGGGTTGCTCAGATCTGTAACTCGATAATCGGTGCGTCGTTGCTAGAGTTTGCAGAGGCGACAGCGGCGTGACTTCGTCTCTTTCCATTCTTGCTTCACCCATTCACCACGAGCAGATCGTCAGACCACCCTTCTCGTCTAGTCGTTGGAGTTCCCTTTCATAGATCAAATTGTCACACCCCCAAACCTGAACGGTGGAAACGTCTGGGGGCGGATGGAGTGACTCCACGTACAATATCATAACAGTTAAATATAAATGAAACATAGCAATGCAAACATTCATACATTAAGAATTTAAGTTTACATTGTTTACAAACTTTGTTTGCTCAAGAGTTAATACAAATAATTGAAAAGTAGAGAGCATGAAATGACGACGTCGGCCCTCGAGAAGGGTTGAACACATGTCTACTGGTTTCTTGAGAATACAAGTGATTTTGAAAAGTGTCAACAATTAAGTTGGTGAGTTCATAAGCGTTTTTGTGTGAGAAGGATTTGTAACATTTTTGCGTAAGATGATTTGTATACTTGTAGAAAATTCAATATTTTCTTAAAAGAGCTGTAGATGTATGTATTTCTGTTGTATATTTTCCTTGTAAAATAATGATGTATGTTTCCAGAAATCCAATATTTTCTTTTGTAAATGTAATGTAGTCTTAGGCCTTAAGACCAAAAAAAAATGTACAATTTTTTCTTATGCTTAAAAGTTGTGAAACGAAGTATAAAATCCATGTAAGTAATGTAACCCTTACTAGTTCCTTCTATGATCACTTAGTGTTTACAAGTTATATATAATTAAGATCGAATGGACAGTCGATTGGATGATTCTGCCCTAAGCCCACAACCAAACAAGGAACAGGAAGTAAAGCGGAAATCATACATTCGACTGCCTATCGGTTCTTCATTTTATATAACCCTAACGCATACACTAAGGAATTATAGAGGGAACGATAATGGTCCTATCAGAAATGTAAGTTACTCTATACTAGAAAATAGTATACTATAATTGTATTTATATGTAATCCTTTTTTTTAAGTATATGTCTAGATTCACCATTGTACTAAAAAATATTATAATGTAGTTATATTATTAAATAAAACTAAATGAAGTTATCTATGTATTCATACACTAATCGTATTGTTAATACCAAATTGTGAGTTATTATAACCATGCTTGATGACCTAGGATGGCCTGCTACGACGTTCTTCAGGCGTCAGAAAAGGTACGACACTTGTCACCCCAGCCTGTCGGCCTAACTGTAGCTAACAGTTTGGGTGCGGGGTTGTCAGTCCCGTATAGATCTATACACAAGTGTCACGCTCTCCCTCCAGGAGACTCTAGTTATAATGTCAGGTCTTTTGTTGGTACTTAGGTAAGTACGTGAAGTGTGTCTCACAAAGCTATATTGACGGTTACGTGTAGAATAATGAAAAACATTTCTGTAATGAATAAACTGTATGTATGCCTCATAAACTATACCTATTATAGTTTATATGTTTGTTTCCCTAATGTATCCCGAACTTTGTGAAATAGTACGTATGTTCCATAAACTATACCTATTATAGTTTAACATGTTTGTTTGTTAAGTACTTTTATATAACCATTTATATAAATATGAAGTAATTATCTTGTCTAGTTTCAAAATGTAAGGTTAAAACATTATGTTTTGGGTTGTAACCCACAAAATAGTAAGTAACTAGGATGTACTCCCTTTGTTATGAAAGTTATATTTTAGTAAAAGCTTCAAAAATCATGTAGTTTTACAAGTCAAAATTTTCTTATGATTTTATAACCTAGATCATGCAAATAATATCTTATTTTTTACATAAAGATGAAAATATGTAAATATCTGTGTGATAAACAAAGTTTTACTTGTATTCCCCCCCCCCCTAAAACATGAAAAAGCTTGAAAATGTGGGGGGTATGAACTCACCTTGAATGGTTTTGGTGGGTGGATTTGAAGAGGTGTTGAGAAGACTCCAAGTCTAAACTCTTGTTTGAAATAGATGGACTGTTGGGTTTTAGTATACTACAACATCCTATGGTGCACACACAACCCTAAATGCTTTGGATCTATGTTTTCTCTAATTACACATGCAATATTTTTTCCAAAGCATTAAGCCTACAACTATCATACAATTGACATAAACAACATAAAATACTAGTTAGGAGTTTACCTCTTTATGTAGCTTGT